AAAAAAAAAAAAAAAAAAAAAGAAATATTTCTGAGAGTAAAAGGGACTTAAATTGTATTTGAGCATTGTGATACACACAAATACCCTTATGGGTAAAGTAGATCCACATATAATAATTATGACAAGGCATGACTGTTATTCTTACAAAAACCAATTATTTTGAACTCCCACATTCTGTCATACATGAGTACTTTACACTTCCATCAAGCTATACTTTTGAACTTACTGGACTTGAAATCAATTAAATTTGAAAGATCAAGTATAATCTAATAAAGACTAAAAATACATAGATTAAGGACTATTTCCTAGGTGTATGTAAAGTAGTTGAAGCTAACTCCTGCCACATTGAAAACACGTTCTGTTGAAAAGTTTTAGTTGAACTGTTTCCCTTGTCTTAATTTTTCATATACATTAGAATCTAACATTACTTCTGTTTTGACAGTCCTCTCCCTCCACCAAAATGTCAGATTAACCAATCTTCATGCATAAGAATGTCACCTAAAAAATAAAGTTTGGCTCTTCACCACTTTTTAACAGAACAAGATCACTGGGGTCTATTGTACAGACCCACAACTTGGGGCAATATATATACAAATATTCATTACAGATCATCACCAACTTACTTGGAATTAGTGCTACCGGTCTTACTTTCAGGGAAGACCCAATAACAATGAGGAGATCAACTTCATCTTTGTCATACTTCATGGCTCTATGAAACTGTTCTGGTAAATTTTCACCAAAAAATACAATCTCTGGTTTCATGATAGCAAGTGGTTCATCAGCTGGGCACCTAGGACATCGAGGAACCACCTGCATGTTCCAGATTTTGGTTGAGGTGGGGAAGAGAAGGGAAAGCCCAAGTTAGAAATACTCAACATTTCCGCACTTCCTAAGAAGGCATTTCAAAATTATCAAAACAGAAAAGCTGTGGGGTCAGCCCCGTGGCTTAGCGGTTCAGTGTGCGCGCTCCGCTGCTGGTGGCCCGGGTTCAGATCCCGGGCGCGCACAGACGCACCGCTTCTCCGGCCATGCTGAGGCCGTGTCCCACATACAGCAGCTAGAAGAATGTGCAACTATGACATACAAACTATCTACTGGGGCTTTGGGGAAAAAAGGGGAGGAGGATCGGCAATAGATGTCAGCTCGGAGCTGGTCTTCCTCAGCAAAAAAAGAGGAGGATTAGCACAGATGTTGGCTCAGGGCTGATGGTCCACACAAAAAAAAAGAAAAAAAGAAAGAAAAGCTGTGGATAAATACCAGGGAAAACTGGATACAACCTAAATGTCAGTGTCAACTGTCAATAACTGGTTAGTTTATTAACATACAAAGAAATACAATGTTGCTATTATAATATCTGTAGTCCTACATTTGATATTCAAGAGTCCACTGTATATTAAAAGGAAAAACCAGCATGTATATGTATATATGCACACACAAGACCTAATTCTCTAAAAAATTGTGTAAGATAATGATTCCATTTTAATATGCTGTCCTCCTCTCATAACTATACAGTCATACGTCACTTAATGACAGGAATATGTTCTGAAAAATTCATTGTTAGGTGATTTCACCATCATGTGAACATCATAAAGTCTACTTACACAAACTTAGATAGCATAGCCTACTACACACCTAGGCCATATGGTACTAACACGGGACCACAATCATGTATGCGGTCTGTGGTTGACTGAAATGTCATTACGTGGTGCATGACTGTATATGATTAATTATACATGCAGCTAAGCACATAGAATTTATTTCTGGAAGGTTTTTATTCTCTGCCATATTTTCCTGTATATAATTTGATAGTGGGCATACATGAAATACCTTTTACAATAATTTTTTAAATGTTTTAAAGGATTACCACAACTAATTTAAGATTCCAAATCTGAAAGGCACTAAAAAGGGAAAGTAAGGAGAAAAACTAAATATAGCAACACCTCACTTTATGATCTGGGTTTTTATTTAAGGCTTAGATATTAAGGAGCCAATTTCATCATTTTAGAGACATTATGGAGCAATGTTTTCAACTTAAAGTATTGAAAGCTTCTTATGTAATTTCACCAGAATTCCCAATGGTTAACACTCTCTTCCTGGATCTTTCTGTACCACATAAATACTTTCAAAAAAAAAGGATTTGGAGGCAACAGAAGAAACAGATCAGAGACATGCACAATTCCTAAAATATGAGTGATAAATTACCTGATTAAAAATATCTCCTCGTACAGCTTCACAGTCAACTTTGTATTTACAAATCAGGCAAGACGCTGTTGCAAAGGAACCTAAAAACAACCAACATACACATAGGCTTTATTAAAGGAATGTTTTCATTTCTTAAAATACCACAAAGGTTATAAAACAAAGTTTCACACCAGAAAATTTAGTGAATTCCAAAATTTTAAGAGATTCCATGGAAGAATTTGGGTGATGAATAATTAAAATAATTATATAGATAATAAATAAGGAGAGAATCCAATCCTCAATTACTGAGACATTGATATAATGATGCCTCATAAAGCTACTCTTTTCAATAAAATAAACCAACTCCTCCTGGGATAAAACAGTGCAGAATTGGAAGTTTACAATTGTATTACCTTAGCTTAACAATTGTTTTAAAAACAGTTTAGATACATAAGAAAATGGTCTGTTCATACTTTAGATTGAAAGTCGTCTAAATTTGTGAAAGTCGTCTAAATTTGTGAAATCTGTACATCTGAACTACCTAGTTTCTTTCGTTCAAAAACTAAAGATGTCATGTTTTTTCATACCTGGCTAATATTACTTTTGTAATCAAAAAGGTTATTTAAAATAATTTAGTGGAATGCAACTGCTGCATCTTTTGAAATCCAAAAGCACATTAATATCTGATGTTTTGTACAAACAAGTGTCAAGGCCAAGCTGGTTTCATTTTTTTCTGAATTTATCTATAATTGATCAGGTAACATGATTAAATAATAGGGCTTGATCTCCATTCCTGGATGCTTAATCTCCATTCCTGGATGGCAGCCTACTTTCTAATCCTAATTTTTCCTATAAAACTAACTAACCAAGTAACAGAAAGCAATTCTCAAGTTTACTAACCATGACATTGAATTATCCTTTGGATGCCTGCAACCTGTTCCAGTGTATCTATGTTCTGAGTATAGTTGCGAAGTAGTTTTCCTTCCTTATCTGACAAGGCTATGAATTTGTGACAGAGAGATGGTTGGAATTGTCCAGGATATATTTCCTATATAATGCAAAAGGCAGAAAAAAGATTAAAGAAATAAGTATAACAGATGTCATATGTTTAGGTTTAACAAAAAAACTACTGATAATCCCCCATGTATAAATAATCTAAAAAACAATACATGAACATCTCAAAGCATCTAGATGGATGCCACACACACCTACAAAAGGACTGTTGCTATAATATGTATAAAATTCAGCAATTAGTGAAGTTGGCCCCTTGAAGAAAAGGATAAAGTCGACCCATAAACATCTCTAATAAATGTTAATAGATATTTTAATATAAGTCAGAAGAAATACACGCCTTAGGATAGATCTAATTTTTATTGGCTGTAAATTCAGGTTTTTTTTTTTAAAAGAAGAAGGGGGAAAGTTTAAACTGAAATGAAAGATATCAAAGGTATGGTGACTTCTTTTCTAAAACTAAAAAAAGGCACTGTCAACATAAAAATATTAAAAATTTTTGATTCATCATTTATTACAAATATTAACCTGTTGGAAGTTTAAAGCTAAAGTTTTAATTCCTTACCAAAATTGTTTTCTTTCCACTGCACAGGCACATACTGGTATAGTAATGAGTTGCTCATGAATGCTGAGTTGCTGGATTTTGTGTGTGTGTTTTTCCCCCCAAATAATGCTTCAATGCTGTTTCTTCTTTAAAAACAAAGAATTCAGATATACACATGGCAAAAAGATCAGAGAAAAAGTATCAATTTTGGTCCTCTCAACTTCTGACAGTGTTTCTATTAAATTTCATTTAAGTGACCATGGCAAAGGAAGTTTCTTCTCTACTTTTTTGTTTAAAGTAGTGCTACCAACACTTCCTTACCATTCATTACAGCCTCTAACCTATTACAATGCTAGCAAAAAACTAGACACAACTGCATGTCCATCAATAGGAGACTGGTTGTGGAAATATGGTACATCCATAATAGTGGAGTATGCGGCCATTAAAATGAATGAGGGAGGTCCAGATGCACTGACCTGGAAGATGGTGCATGACATAAGTGAAAAAAGCCACTTAGTCACCAGTGCGTATAGTTTTTTTGTTGTTTTGTTATTAAGCAAAAATGGAAATTATATGCACATGTATATAGGTATGTTCATATAACAAAGTCAGGAAGGATACAAACAAGCTATAAACAGCAGTGAGTGGGAACTTGCACTTCTGACATTATACAAAAAAGTTTAATGAGATTATACAATGTTACCGCAATAAAAAATAAAAAGGAAAAAAAGATTAGATGACTTTTAACCTATTTAATATTTCAAATTTAAAAAATCTACAGGGATACCTTTTAGGTAAAAATAATAAGCAAATCTCATTATAACAGCTATCACATACATGTCCATATGCTACTGAAAATCTGCATTACATAAAAATCCAAAAATTTTGCCTCATTCAAATATCATGAATTTCATGGACAACTTTGCAATTTAAGAAACAGACAATGCATATAGAAAGAAGTAACAAGTGAAGAGCTTATTAAAACTCATGTTTATAGAAAACTGAAACCCACATTGTTTTGGACCATTGGGTTGTGCTATATTAACCACTGCTTTCTCTCCAGGATGCTTTGTTCTAGTACATTTACATTTACCTTTAGAGGATTAATCACAGAATCTTATTAAAGCTCCCTCTGGAAACAGCTGTTAGAATATTTTAACAAGTATCAGAATATGCTAGGCAACAGATAAAATAGGATCTCAAGAAGTAAGGGAAGTGGTAACAGCATACCAAGCGCAGAACAAGAACAAATGACTACCTCCAAAGCAGTGTCGGGGAGCAAGAGTACCAAGACTCCACCGTCTTGGAATGAACTTGTGTGTGCCTTATCACCACCGCCCTCCTTTTTAAAGGGGAGGGTACGAAGCACAAAGGTGTGGGATACTAGATTCGGCTCTGCACTCCCTTCATGTTTCCCTTCACGTCCAACCCATAATAGTTCAGTGTAGTTTAAACCTTAAAGTTACGAATCCATTCCTATAGTGGGGATAATTTCTGAAGACTTTTTTTGTTTTATTTTATAAACCTTTCATGTGATAGAACCTAAGTGATTTGAATCTTAACTTGGTCTATTTTCTTTCAAATATGCAGTGGACCATGTCTAAATCATTGGATTTAAACACTGTGTTCAAACTAAGGGATATAATCTGAAAAAATGAAAAAGAATTACTCTGGAAGGACTGTTTTAACAGAAACTACTCATAAGGCAGGCTCTTAACATGAAAAGTTTGCTAAAAACCAAATGGCTGCAGATACAGCTTTCAGATAAAGTATGGATTAATTCTTCCTGCAACATGCTACCCTGTTCTAAGCAAGACAGGCCATCCCAAATCTGAACATTCTAAATCCTATTCAGGAACCAATCACGTGGGCCTGGAACCAATTGTGTAGTCTGGGCCATTCTGTTACTTCCATAGGGATCCTTATAGATTTGAGTGGAAAGAGAGCTGGGACCAAAGGCTCAAAAACGCTATTAAAAAGACACGTCGTGAGAGGGCCAGCCTGGTGGCGTAGTGGTTGGGTTCACACGCTCCGCTTCAGTGGCCTAGGTTTGCCGGTTCGGATCCTGGGCGTGGACCTGTGCACCGCTCATCAAGCCATGCTGAGGCAGCGTCCCAGAGAGAGCAACCAGAAGGATGTACAACTGTGACATACAATTATCTACTGGGGCTTCAGGGAGAAAAAAAAGAAAAAAGGAGGAAGACTGGCAACAGATGTTAGCTCAGGGCCAACCTTCCTCAAAAAACAAAACACGTTCGGAGCTGGCCCCATGGTGTAATGGTTAAGTCCAGCACACTCCGCTTCAGCAGCCCGGGTTCACCGTTTCGGATCCCGGGCTTGGACGTACACCAATAATCAAGCCATGCTGTGGCGATGACCCACATACAAAACAGAGCAAGACTGGCACAGGTGTTATTAGCTCAGGGCGAGTCTTCCTCAAGCAAAAAAAGAGGAATATTGGCAATGGATGTTACCTCAGAGCAAATCTTCCTCGCCAAAAAAAAAAAAAAAAAAGACGTTGCTTCCACACAGCTGTGTGCAGAAACATGCAAACAATTCAGTAATTGGCCATAGGCAACCAATGTGGTCAAAACTAAACCTTAGAACTATCTGCCAGAGTGAGTTTTCATGCAGAAATGATGGCTTTCCTCCAGAGACGCTCTCTGCTTGATTTCTTCCCAAAATTTCCAGTAATATGAATGAGACCCCACTCAAAGGCAGGAGTGTTAACTGCAACCCCTCAAAACTAAAAGGGCTCATCAAAGTTCGAGATGCCACTATTTGCTATTATCTACCTCCTTCCTCCCTCAGCACAGAGGGAGGCAATAAGAAGAGTTGGTAGGAAACTAGAACGTAAATTCTCCATGCTGCCAAAGAGAGAAGTAAAACTGATCCATCCTGGTAAGGAAAATCCTCATAATCCCTTGTCTGGTTTCATTCATTCCAAAAAACTACACTTGAATAGACTATTCAATATCTTACCTAATCAATACTTACAAATTACAGTTAGTCACCTGACAAAGAAATTCAACTGTTCTAAGTCTGGTTCCCTGAGGAACTCCAAGTTCAGCAAACTTTTCCCACACAGGACACCGTATAGTAAATATTTAAGGCTTTGTGGGTCATACAGTCTCTCTCTATATAGTCTCTGTCGCAACCACTCAAATCTTCCATTGTAGTGCAAAAGCAGCCATAGACAATATGCAAATGACTGAGCAAGGCTGTGTCCCAATAAAACTTTATTTATGGTCACTGACAGAATTTCATACAACATTCATATGCCGTGAAATACTGTTCATTTTCCCCATCCATTTAAAAATTCTTAGCTCATCATATGCTATACAAAAACAGGCAGTGGGGGGCTGGCCCCGTGGCTTAGCGGTTAAGTGTGCACGCTCCGCTACTGGCGGCCCGGGTTCGGATCCCGGGCGCGCACCCATGCACCGCTTCTCCAGCCACACTGAGGCCGCGTCCCACATACAGCAACTAGAAGGATGTGCAACTATGACATACAGCTATCTACTGGGGCTTTGGGGAATAAAAAGGAGGAGGATTGGCAATAGATGTTAGCTCAGGGCCGGTCCTCCTCAGCAAAAAGAGGAGGATTAGCATGGATGTTAGCTCAGGGCTGATCTTCCTCTCACACACACACAAAAAAAAACCAGGCAGTGGGCCACATTTGGACTAAGGCCGTAGTTAGCCAACCCATGTACTAACCTAACACAAGAGAATTTCAATTAATCAAGCTATTAGTTATCACTTAATGAACTTTTAGTACGTACCAGGCAAAACAGGAGCACTTTTAATATAATGTTGTAGACTAGGCTGAGGGCTGGTTCTTACATTTTAAAGGGGTGTAGAGGAAAACAAAGAATACAGGTCAGAGCTACTATGTGGTCCACAAAGGTCATATTTACTTCCTGGCCATATACAGAAAAGATTTGCTGGCCCTACTGTAGACATATATATCCTCATTTTGCAGATGAAAAAACCAAAGCACAGAAGTAACTTGCCAAAAGTCACAAAAGCCAGTAAGTAGCAGAGCTATCATTCAAACCCAGTTTTGATACCAAAGTGCAGCTCTTAACCACTATGCAATACTGCCTTTTCAATTTTTGATCCCTCAACCTCAGGTTTCTTATTTTTCTTTTAGGCAAGCACCATTTCATTAGGTACCGCAAACTAGTCTAGTAAGACTAATCAAGACTAGTCTAGTAAGTACACTTCATTTTGCACTTCTTCATGGGATTACTGGAGGCTGGAATTCCAATCATCTTCTAACATAAAAACACTCTTCAACATCATGTTCCCACAACTAAGTAAGAAAAGGATCCCAATGGAAAAGAATAGTTAAGAACAAACAGGTGATCCAAAGATATACCATGGCCAGTAGTAAAAAGCAGTCATCCACACAGAACACTAATATGATAATGAAAGATGCTAATTTCTTATATTAATCTGATAGTTTTGACTGCCTTAAAAACAACTCTAGATAGCCATTAATAGGAAACTGATTAAATATAGTTGGTATGACTATAAAACAGTACTATGCAGCCTTTTCTTAAAAATCACGTAGGGGCCGGCCCTGTGGCGTAGTAGTTAAGTGTGCGCGCTCCGCTGCTAGCAGCCTGGGTTCGGATCCCTGGTGCGCACCGATGCACCACTTGTCAGGCCATGCTGTGGCGGCGTCCCACATAAAGTGGAGGAAGATCAGCACGAATGTTAGCTCAGGTCCACTCTTCCTCAGCAAAAAAAGGGGAGGATGGGCAGATGTTGATCTCCTCACAAAAAAAAAAAAAAAATGAACACTGAGGGAAAAGCTTAAGGAGAAATTAGTGAGGACAAAGAATGAAGGATAGTATCCAAAAATGGAGGATGGGGAGGGTATATTATATTTTACTAGATTCCTAAAATATTACGTGAATAAAATACTCATAACCTAAAATTTCCTACCAGTTGCTATACTAGGCAGAAAGTTCATCAAGATAGTTTATGACTTTTTTGCTGGTTATGAGAGAAAATGAATTTAATATGAAGCCATGAAAACAGGAAATATTATTGGTGAAATTTAGACATTTTGGAAGGAAAGAATTTCTACACATGTATCAAGCCACTGCTTGTAAATAATTATTGAGAAGAAACTTAGATTTCATTTAGACTGGAAATTCCAAATAATGGAGAGGTATGTTAAAGAGGTTCCTGGCCAATTAGAGCAGCTTCTCAAACTACTGACATTTTGGGGTGGCTAATTCTTTGCTTTGAGGAGCTCTCCTAAGCGTTGTAGGATATTTAGCAGCATCCCTGGCCTCCTCCCACTAAATGCCATTAGCACCCCTACCCCCAGTCTTGACTCTCAAAAATGTCTCCAGACGTTACCAAACATCCCCTGCAAAATTGCTCCCTGTTTGAGAACCAGGGTATTACAGTGTGCCTAGCTGTGGTACCACTTTGAATTCTTTTACACAAAAACACTAAAACACTGGCCCTGGGCTAACATCCGTTCCCATCTTCTTCTACTTTATATGGGACGCCGCCACAGCATGGCTTGCCAAGCGGTGCATCAGTGCACACCCGGGATCCAAACTTGCGAACCCCAGGCCGCCGCAGCAGAGGGCGCCCACACAACCGCTTGTGCCACCGGGCCGGCCCCTCAGTATTCATTTTTACATCCAAATTAACTCAGCCTCTCCTACCTATTACTATTAATTTTAAATGCAACTTCAGCAACTAGAAGCTTTCTTTTAGACAGTTCCTAATGTGAGAATTAAAGTACAACAATTCTATACGACTAGCAGTTATAAAGGTTAATTTCTTTAGCTCTTACCATAACTTAAATGAAAACTCAGAAAACCAATTAAGCAAAATTAAATTTATATAAACAAGATTAGAAAAGGCTACACCTTATAAATGATTGAATTTATTTTTTTTCACTTTATTAACTAACAGTAAAAACATGCATAAATTCTTAAAACTTTTAGAGAAGTGGAAAATGCTACCCCTCCAACCTTTTCTTCTCCCAGGTGGTATAAAATCTGTACACAGTGGTTAAGAACAGTAACTCATTAACAGTGTACCATTTTTACTGTAATTCACATATTTTCCCTTATGCACTGTCTAGATTTCTATTAAGTGCATTTTTAAAAGTTCTTATAGTTTATCAGAGTAATTCTGAATTGCTTCTACAGATTTTTACATGTCAAAGCTGGTCTAAGCTAAAAATGAATACCCAGTTTGTTCATTAGGTAACTAAGGTTACAGTCTTTCTCAACCTTGCTATTCCTATTCTCAGTTACCACACTTTTTCCAAGCGTCAGGTTACTCCTTTACCAGGCAATTTAATATATACTTAATAGGAAAAAATGCTGACAAGTTGGTTTGGGCAACATAATTTGCTTCCTCTCAGAACACAGAATTTACAGCAAAAATCTTGTGAGCATTATATAAATGCACTAATGAATCAAGTTTTTATAATCAGATATAAGATTAAAATAATAATTTCTGGTTACCTGCTGGCCTTCTAAAAGTGTTCATTTCTGCTAACTAGAGCTATTAGAATGCCAGTGTCCTAGGTCCAATTCAAGAACCCTATAACTAAGTAATGTATCACCCGTCTTCAAAATCATGCAGTAGTACCATGAACAGCACTATGTTAAAACAGTAAATCTTCACTAATTCATAATCTTGTAATTAAGAAAAATAAAAAGAAACTAACTTTATACTCTTTATTCAATTCAGTTTGAACCAGATGTCTGTTCTAAAGCTTAAATGACCATCATTACTGCTGATACATGAAGTGTGCAAAATTTTTATGTTTCAGGTTGATTTTTGGAAAGATTAAAAATTCTCTTAGTAGCCTGAAAATTTTTCCAATTTAATTTTCAGTTTTAGCAATTAAATCATATCCAAGAAATTTTAATATAATTTCCCCATTTTACTCTAATTCCTATTTATAACCACAGTTGGATGAAACAAAGTATTTCTTTAAAGATAGTCAGACAGTTTAAACTAACACCATTTATTCTGAATTTGCAGAGCTTTTCGTATAGTTACATAAATAGACCACATGATTTGAAAGTAGCTGAGGTTACCCTTTAATTAAAATTCAGGTTCATCTAATTTCTAGATTCACTAAAAAATAGTCACTAATACAAAAAGACCTTTTCAAATATACTGAAGTTTAGTAATAACAATTTCTTTCCACAAGAATAAACTCTAGGAAAAAAAATAAAAGTTTTCTGAGTAAAATCTCTTGGGAATGGTATAATGTAGTATCAAACTATACTGTAGAGCAGAGCTGCCCAAAAGAAATATGTGAGCCATGTATGTAATTTTAAATTTTCTAGCAACCACATTAAAAGCATGAAATTTTCATAATTTATAACCTGTTATCAAAAGTATTATTATTTTCACATATAATCAATATTTGTTAATATATAATAAATAAAATTAATAATATTTCTATTTTTCCTATACTAGGTTTCCAAATTCTGGTGTGTCTTCCACACTTACATTATATATCTCATTACACTTAAGTACTCAACAGCCCCATGTGGCTAGTAGCTCCTGAACTAGACAGCGCAGCTCTAGAGACTCTAGACCAGAAAAGAGCAACCTTAACTAAAATGCAACCTAAGAATCTTCTCCACTCCTAATTACAAATTTTTCAGGCACGTCCTCATGTGTTAAAACCTGGCTACTGTAATACATACCAAAGCAGATGTTATAATCTTTATGACCCATAAAAAATAGTAAAAATCAAAACAATGATGTTACTTTTATATGGTCTTCTAACCTCTAAAAAGGCCTGGACAAATGTAAAAGCCATTACTGAAGTGCAAATTGCAAAAAAGTGAAATAGCCTCTTCTTTGAAAATAAGATCAATCCTAAAATGAAGAAGAGTAAATGACAGTCCCTTTCAGGAAGAAGGGAATTCTGACTGATATGACTTTATTTCAGTGGTCTTACTCCACGACAGTACTAGTACCCAATTTTCTAGTAGTAAGCTTTAGAAGTCTGAATGTGAACAAAATATTTTTTCATGAGCGGAGGCCAAAGGGACAAATAGAAGAGTTCATAGTACCTTTGCAAACTTGAAGAATGGTCTTGGATCTTTTCTGAAATATTCAATATCAAACATTGCTTGAGGATCTGGAAGGTCTGGGAAGTCTACTGCAAGGCGAGCATAAATACCGTCTCTTGACCTGAAGTCAGGTATTCCACAAGAAACAGAAACCTGAAATATGCATGGCATAATTTATATAATTAAATCTTCTACCTCTACCTTTATAATTACTAGTTCTTTTATCATACCTTCAGGGAACAGTTAAAAAATATTTTAGTTTGAAACTTTTTTGGGGGAAGAGATGTACTGCCCCACTATAATTTCAAATAGAAATAAAACACCCCAAAAACAGTATAATTAAATCCACCACATATTCCATTCATAAGGGGGCAAAGAAGTTTAAGTCAGGCTAATTTTAAACCTTTAAGCATTTAACCAACAAATTAAAGCAACTGCAATTTGATTGAGAAGATGATAAACTATTTCAAGTTATTTTAACTATAAAGCAGGCAAGAATTTCTATCATAGTCAAGTACTTCCAAAGAAATCTCTCATCTGGTCAGGGTTCTACTACTTCAAGAATACTAAATTTCTGTATTTACTTTAAAAACTATGTTGGGGCCGCCCCATGGCTTAGCGGTTAAGTGCGCGCGCTCTGCTACTGGCGGCCCGGAGTTCGGATCCCAGGCGCGCACCGATGCACCGCTTCTCGGGTCATGCTGAGGCCTCGTCCCACATGCAGCAACTAGAAGGATGTGCAACTATGACGTGCAACTGTCTACTGGGGCTTTGGGGGAGAAAAGGAGGACTGGCAATAGATGTTAGCGCAGAGCTGGTCTTCCTCAGCAAAAAGAGGAGGATTAGCATTGATGTTAGCTCAGGGCTGATCTTCCTCACAAAAATAAATAAATAAATAAAAATAAAAACTGTTGTAAAGTATTTCAGTTCTTAATTTTTAAGACTAGATTTAAACACTATGCTTTTTCTACAAATAAACCACGACATTTCAAATGGTGATTTCAGAAGTTATCTTTTTGTTTCACAATTTTACCAGAGCTGACTCCACTTTGACCTCAGAGTAAAACAAATTTGTCTAAATCACATCCGGGAGCAAAGCACAACTATTCTTTTCTTTTCTTTTATAATTTTATTTATTTATTTTTCCCCCAAAGCCCCAGTAGATAGTTGTATGTCATAGCTGCACACCCTTCTAGTTGCTGTATGTGGGAAGCGACCTCAGCATGGCCGGAGAAGTGGTGCGTCAGTGCACACCTGGGATCCGAACCCGGGCCGCCAGTAGCGGAGCGTGCACACTTAACTGCTAAGCCACGGGGCCGGCCCTTAGCACAACTATTCTTGATGAGCATTTAAGATTAAATAATACCATCCCTTAACTCAAAAGGGCAGAAAGCAGAACTGAATTCTACTCCAGCAGCTGCCCGGGTCACTAACACACAATACGCAATAGCCTTAGGTAGCTAGTTAACTGCAATCCTAAAGTGGGGCAAATGAAAAATGTCAAGCCACCACAATCACCTTAATTTAAAAGGGAGGGGAAGCAGGGATCTACCAATACTAAGTTCTTTACTTGTGAATACCAATTAGGTTCCTGGTTTTCCCATGAAGATCCAACAAATACCCAATTTCTGCATCAGACCCTGACACTTGAATGCAAGCAGAATTCCCTGCATCTCCTTTAGGGACTGTGGTATAATGTAGGCAAAAATCTTACCTTAATTCCACTTACCTGCTGTGCTAATAAATAAAAAGCAAACCTTTTTTACGGTTGTTAGGTTTTTTAAAAAACTGGACCAATTTAGCAACTGCTGCTGCACTCACTTTTTAGCAGTTTCCAAACACAAATGCCCATTATCATGTAAGGATAAATTCTTCTACCCCAGAAAAATGTTTAACTGGAAAAGGTATAAGAAAAACATATGCCACCTCCCCCTTTTACTAGTGTTTTATACATCTTACATACCCCAGCTCCGGTTAGAACTATTATTTTCTTGCACTCTTGCAGTAATTTCACAGCATCTTCAATTGTATTAATATCTTTTCTTTTTTTCCTTTTTGGTGGTTCTGAAAGGATATTAATAACAATCTGCCACAGTGTCATATCATCCAATTCAGGTGGAGGAATTGTCTCTGGTAGTAAATCTTTAAGAATCGTTCGAGGATCTGTGCCAATCATGAGATGTTGCTGAACAAAAGTATATGGACCTATATTAAGAAGGAAAAGAATTAGATCAAATCCACTTCCAAGTAATTAAAAATCTCATTTATTTTCTGAAGTAATGAATTAGCAATCCGTAAGGTTTTTTGAAAAGAAAATGCAATATAAAGGTATTTCATTCTCATGACATCTTCAGAGCTAACGCTATACACCAATGAATTGGGGAGGAGATCAAATAAACAGTTGGGCCTGTCCATTGAGCTATAAAATACCAAGTATGTATTTTGAGAGTCTAACTACTAGAATTAAATTTCTACAGTTAAAATCTAGAAAAATACACCATAATTAATAACAGAAGTATGTACAAAAGGATTCTACAAATCAATATAGGAAACATCTTACCAGTCCCAAAAGCCCATACTATTTATCATTAAAGACAAAAGAAAAAAAAATATACATATCTTTTTAAATTTTTCTAGTAATAATCTTCAGTTTGATCTTAACCAATCTCCCAAAATGACACACACCACTCTGATATTTTTTACCCTGAAATTTCTTAGATCAGTTTCCTAGGTTTAGTCAAGGCATTTTTGAAAGAATGAGAGCTCATTAAGAAAAAGATTACTTTTGAGATGATCACATTATAACTTTGGTATAAAAATCTGATAGTGTTTTCTACTTCAAAATACTTTCCCATTGCATCTACATACTTAATAAATATTTACTGAGCACAAACTATGTGTCAGCCACTTTTCTAGGCACTGACAAAACAGTGTACCAATCAGTCAAAAATCCCTGCCCCCATGGGGCTTATACTCTAGTACAGGAAACAAGACAATAAAAAAAGTTAAGTGTTGGGCCGGCCCTGGGGCTTAGCGGTTAAGTGCGCAGGCTCTGCTACTGGCGGCCCGGGTTCAGATCCTGGGCGCGCACTGACGCACCATTTCTCTGGCCATGCTGAGGCCGGGTCCCACATACAGCAACTAGAAGGATGTGCAGCTATAACATACAACTATCCCCTGGGGCTTTGGGAGAAAAATAAATAAATAAAATTAAAAAAAAAAAAAGTGTTAAGAAAAATTAAAGAAGAGATATGAAGTGAGGGAGCAAGATACTCTTAATGGGAGGAAGAGTATTCCACACAGAAGGTATGAGTGAAAAGGGCTCGAGGTGTGAGAGAGACCTGGTTGAGAAATACCAGATGCCAGCTTCCGTGGGCCTGAGCTGCTACAAACAAAAACAGAACAAAGCACTAGACTTTCCCTAGAAACATAAGCTGACATTAAATCTCAGCAAGCACTTAAGAACCTCATCACTAGGTTATAAGGGGGCAGAGAATTACACTTTCAGTTGGCATAAAACAAAAATACAAAGAAAAAAACATTTATTCTCTAAAGCTGTGAAACCATACCTATCCGCGGCCTTGGAGTCCAGTCACTAGAGCTTGCATGTGAGGCTCTATCATCCTCATCACTTTCACAAGAATGAAAACCGTTGGTGATTATTTCATCACCAAACAGAAGATCATCTGCAAAAGAAACCAAAAGTAACTCAAGGTTGCTTAAACAATCTACATCTAAAATGTACGAAGATCTACAATGCAAAGATTTTCTTTCTGGTTTTTGTTGGTGAGGAAGATTGGCCCTGAGCTAACATTGGTAGGCATCTTGCTTCTATGTTGTGTATGTCATGCCGCCACAGCACCACTTGATGAGCCGTGCATAGGTCCGCGCCCGGGATCCAAACCTGCGAACCCCAGGCCGCACAACTGGAGTGCGCGAACTTAACCACTAAGCCACCAGGCCCACTCCTGAATAAAGCACCTAACATTTATACAGCCCGTGTAAAGAATGCCTACTGGGTTAGCTTTCACCGTTCACAGGAGCAGTATATCCTCATTTTTAGCGCTTCTTCCCAGAATCTAAAAGTTTCAGTTCGTCAAAATTTAAATAAATTGAGTCTACCTAATCAAAACACAAAAAGTAGTAACCTAGTTAGATTGACTTTATCGATCACAAATAATGGAGTTCATGAAACTTGTCACACAAAAATTCACCAAAAAAGTCGTTCAAATGAAGTACAGCAATTTGCACTTCTCTTACATAATACTAAGTATACAACGATATCTTTGCATTATTCGTTTCCCCTATTAAAGTGTGTTTCTTGAAATCAGGGGTCGTTTTACTAATCCAGTTCCTAATGCACACGTTGTTACCTTTACAGACGGTCAAATGGTCCACTGATTGGATTTGATACAAATACTGATAAAGACAGGGCAGAAACTCCTCAGATGGAAAATAAGAAACCTTCAAAGATGACATGACATATACAACTAACAACCGCTTGCCGTATGCCAGAAAAAATGTCAATTCGTGTTTCAAGGTTACATATACACACACAAAAAGATTATACTTAATCTAAAAACCATTATAAGAACATGATTAGAGGAGAAATACTATGCATATAAAGTGCTCTTACAAGTACTATCACTCCTATGCCCACTATTAATTGCACCACAGAAGGGTAATGTCTTTACGTAACGTCTTTATGCTCTTCAAATTTTGCAGGCTATGACTTTAGAAATAACTTTGCTGTTTAAAATTTAAACTAGTTTAAAAATAAAGACCGACTGCACAGTCACCAATTGTCAAAAGTCACCAACTGCACAGGTGTCAGTTTGCAAAGACGACTGCAAAAGGTCGATGCAAGGGACACGCAAAAGTTGCAGATTTAATTGTGCTGGGGGGGGCGGGGGGTGGGAAGCAAAAGATGTCTAACAAAAGCAATATGTTATAAGAGTAGGAGGAGAGAGAAACATTTTTAAACCAACTGCAAGAGCTTCCCGGCCCGGCGGCTGCGCAAAGCGCGAAGCCCGGGCGGGCGGCGGACAGAAGGAAGGCGGGAGGAGAGGGAGGGAGCGAGTCCGCGGGCCGCTCGCGCAGCCAAGCCAGCAGCAGCCGGGCCAGCAGCACCGGAGGCGCGCAGCTCAGGAGGGCTGTGGTTGGGAGGGGCACGCCAAAGAGCCAGCCCTGAGCCCCCAGCCCGCACCAGGGAACCCCCCCCACCGACCCCACCCCAGGAGGGGCCCCGGGAGAGGGAGGAGGGGATGCGCAGTCCCGGCCGCCCGCGCCCTGCGCACCTCGGTACCCAATCGCCGCCGCCGCCGCCTCTTCCTCCTCCTCGCCTTCGTCGTCGTCGTCGTCGTCGTCGTCGAAGTCGTCGGCCGGTGGCGGCTCCCGGGATAGGCCCTGTAGGCCCGGCCCATTGTCTCCTCTGGCCGCCGCCGCCGCCTGGGCCTCCCGCTCCCCGCCCGCCACCGCCGCTGCCGGGCAGCTCCCGGCCGCCGCCGGCACCTCATGCTCGGGGGCCGCCCCACCAGGCTCGCCCGGGCTCCGCCCGAGGCCGGGGCCGTCTCTCCGCGGCCTCTTGCGGAGCGGCTCCCCGGCGGGGGGCGACGCGGCCCCCCTCTCGGCCGCAACAGCCGAGGGGGAGCCGCCGGACTGAAGGGCGAGCGCCGCCTCGTCCGCCATCTTCCAAACTGCCTCTCTGGCCCACCTCCGTCGCCTCCTCTGCTCCCGCTCGACTCGCGGCACTGGCGCCCCCGCGGCTCCGGCTGCGGGAGATTTAAACCCCGTCACGTGACCCGGCCCTCCCCGCCCCCGCCCCCCCGCCGCTCCCGCCACCCACGCGGGCTGGACCACAACACGGCGGGTCACGTGGCTGGCGAAGGCGGCGTGGGCCGGGAGGAAACGCACCCTGGGCGGTGCGGCCCCACCCCTTGGCGGCGGGCGCTCGGTGCTGCCAAACTCACCCCTTTCTCAACTTCTCTTTCGAACTGTCGTTAAATCGCTGCCGCCAGGCTGGCTCAAGCTCTGATTCACAGTGCGAGTTTCCACTTCTGCCTTAAGTGCACACCTTGCTTGCTTTAGTCTTTTCAAGATTTAAGCTAAGGGTTAAAACTTAGTTCCTGAGAGGCGAGAAGGAATGAAGCTGGCCAAGGCTTAGCTCCCGGACGGAGGCTGGATGGTGGGTCTGTTTTGTTAACAGGTGTGAGTAGAGGCGAAAGGACACAGCTCACTCCTCACACCATTCTGACAGCTCTTCTTGGCTCCTTTTTCTCTTTGCTTCTCTCCTAAGCCGATTGCTTTTTTCCCCTCTCTCCATCAGTTGTAGGGTGATGTAGGCTGTCAAATCCTTAAAGGCATGTGTACCGCCTGGAAAGACTTTTGACCTGGGGGGTTGGGGATCAACCTATCTGCTTTCTGGCCTCAGCTTGGCTCCAAATGTGTGTGAATTCCCTTCTCTGGGCTTCACAAAGTGAGTGTATTGGGTCAAGTGGGGCAATATAAAAAGAGTACAGAATGAGCATGACTTGGCCCCTATACACCTCTGGGTTTGGGTTAGTATTTGAGATCTTTCCCTTCTAACTTGAGCAAGTTAGTTAACCTTTCTAAACCCAGTGTTCTCATCTCTAAAATGGTAATACCTATTTTTTAGGGTTGTGATGAGAATTAAATGAGATAGGCAGATGTAAAGTGAGGGATACATAGTAGCTCAAAAATATTAGTTACTTCCCTATTCGAAGCCCCTACTTTCCATTTACCCTGAAATTGCAGGACTCTGTCACTCCATATCTATCTTTAACTAAGGACTCATATAATACATGGCAGATCTAGAGCCAGTGCTTGGTAGGGCATCTGCTTCTGGAGTGCGGCATTTCTGTCCACTTAAAGCGCCTCTCCGAGTTTACAGTAAATCATCCCTTAAGCTGAACGTGGGTCTTGCCTATACTGCACCAATTACTTGTGTGAATTTAGGCAAGCAACTTAAGTTGTTTCTTCATTCTTAAAAAAAAGTAGAATATTGGAAATCTATCTCTAAGGTCCCATCTATATCCAAAAGTCTTTGTACCTCAAATTAAACTGAGAATCTCCCCTTACAACTGATCATTTCTTTTCATTTCTGAAAGTGATTATCTCTTTCAAGAAGATTTGGAATCAACTTTGAAGTGTTTCTTCAGACTGATGCTCTGTAACCAATCAGTGACCAAATCCTGTTGTGCTTCCTTCCTTCCTATACTCTCTCCAATTCCTGACTACATAGATACCTCCCTGGCTGATATACTTGGACCTGTTCTCTCCCCACTTTGTCTATCTTGTTCTACAAAATATTTCATAAATTCTTTCTCAGCCACGTTGGTGGGATGTAATATATGAAATGTTGAGAGTCAGTATCCCATCAAAATAGAAACAAAATTCCTAGCTTTTTTGAGAAAGACCTTTGTAAGCTTATGGACATCCTGTTATTCACTCATTCATTCATTTATATATATCATGAATCAAAGACATTTGCTAGTCTTTATTGTGATCAATATGATTGCTAGTGTACTGATAGGTCAGAGATGGGGTACACGTGGCAGGTAGGATAAATGAGAGACAGAAATTGCATTAAAAAACAAAACAAACACACACCTTCTCAACTAGATATCTGGCCTACCAGGAGTTGAGAACAACTTGCCTGAAATTCAAGTCATTCTTAGTCCTTAAGGCTTGCAAGTTCACATTCAGTTTTTCAAGTCTCCCATGAATCTGGCCTTGACCTTCTTGTAAATATTTTTAGCATTAGTATATTCTAAACTGAGCTATTCATGTACCAGACTTTTTTTTTTTTTTTGCTTGAGGAAGATTCACCCTGAGCTAACATCTGTGCCAGTCTTCCTCTATCTTATACATGGGTCGCTGTCACAGCACGGCTGCTGATAGTAGTGTAGGTCCACGCCCAGGAACTGAACCCAGGCCACTGAAGCAGAATGCATCAGACTTAACCACTAGGCCACAGGCTGGCCCCCAAACCATTTTTTTTTTAAAATGAGGAAGCTCTTTGGGGCCGCCATGTGGCATAGTGGTTAAGTTCAGTGTATTCCACTTTGGCGGCCCAGGTTTGCAGGTTCAGAACCCCGGGCATGGACTTACACTGCTTGTCAGCCATGCTGTGGCGGCAACCCACATACAAAATAGAGGAAGATTGGCACAGATGTTAGCTCAGGGCAAATCTTCCTCAAGCAAAATAAAAATAAAAATAAAAATAAATAAATGAGGAAGCTCTTTAAGTTGTCATATGGAATGCTCTCCATGCTGCACAGTGCAAGATGTAGAACAGTGTGTGTAGCACTATTTGTGAGAAAATAAAAGGGAGAGTGTGGGAGACCATATATATGTATTTGCTTATATATGTACAAAATAACACTAGAAGTGCTTAAAATAAATACATATATGCCTGCCATGTATTTGTCATACCGTTTTGCCTGTATCTCCTTCCCCAGAATGAGTCCTCTCTATACCTTATTCAGAACGTTATAGAGCACATTCCCCTATTTTGCTTGTTAACTTATTTTTCTCTATGTGTTTTACTGACTGTCTCCCCCAGCTACAGCAGGAATTTGGTTCATGTGGTTCACCTCTGTGTTATCAGCTCTCTAGTAGAGTAACTAGCACATCTATTTATTGAATGAAAGAATAAATAAAGAATCTAAATGAAGATTTCCATATAGGAAAAGAATTATTGAATGAAAGGTGATGGGCAGCATGGATCCTAAACAAAAAAAGGCAAGAAGCAAGGCAAGGAAATTCAGTTTGTCCCCAGCACAGTTCAGGTGAGAAAGTTAATGAAACATGACATGACCTGTTTCTTGTTTGACAGGATGAACGTAGGTGCATTGGGCTGTGAGGTGTTTTCCAACACGAACCACCAGTTCTGATTCTCCAGATACCAACTGGGTATTTAACAGTTCAACTCAATTATGACACCGGACTGCCCCCACTTCAGATGCCAGTCACAAGTCCCAGACCTCCTGTACAAACTGGCTATAAACTGGGAGTTCCCATGACACTTACAAAGGATACAAATGAACAGCTAGATGAAGAGGTACGTAGGGCAAGGTCCAGAAAGGTCCAGAGCACAGGAGCTTCTGTCCCTGTGGAGTTGGGTCACACCACCTTCTTAGCTCATGGATGTGTTAACCAATTCAGAAGCTCTCTGAAGCTCCTTGTTCAAGACTTTTTATAGAGTTCAATCTCCAGTGTGCTCCATCCCTCTCTCTGGAGGTCAGGAGTGGGGCTGAAAGTTCCTGCCCTCTAACCACTTGGTCTTTCTGGTGACCAGCCCCAGCTGAAGCTATCTAGGAGCCCCACCCTAAGCTACCTCATTAGCATAAACTCAGGAGTGAAGGAAAGGAGTTCATTATGAATAACAAAAGACACTCCTAACACTCAGGAAATTCCAAGGGTGTTAGGAGGTGTGTTTCAGAAACAGAGGACAAAGACAAATATTTATTTTTTATTATACCAAAGGCTGTCATAGACTTCTCACACTAGTCACTGGGATTTTTAACTTGTTTTCAAATTCTAAGCCCCCTAAGCAGCCTTCAACAGTAATTTGGTTTCCCATATAGACTGTCCCACTGGGAAGAAAATGTTCCAAGAGCCAACAATAATATTCTGGCTGACTTGGCAGCTCTATTTATATGAACAAAAAAATTGGCCTTATAGCTTTGATTTCAATCTCATGTGACTACAATTAGTAGGGGAGTTAGTATCAATTCTTTGTGTACTGAAAAACAGTATTAGCAAAACAGGTTATTAATGTGGAAAAACACAAATACAGATTCCTACCTCACACTAAATACAAAAATAAATTCCAAGTGGATTGAAGATCTACATGAAAAAAATATAATAAAAATATTAGAAGACATTTTATAATATATAATTTTGCATCAAAAAGAACTAAGACAGAAGCCATTTAAAATATATAAATATGTAAAATATATTTAAAAAATATATATTTGACTATATAAATATTTAAAATATGTTCGAATCTATTAGTAGTCAGGGATATGCAAGTAAAACAATGAGGTACCATTTTTCACTCCTCAAATAGGCAAAAACAAAACAAATTTTATTGCTACCATCTACTGCTTACCAGGATATGGGGACACCGATACTCTCCACTGCTGTCACAGTAATGGAAAGTAATCTGGAAATATTTATTAAAATTATAAATACACATATACATTTCAACCCAAAATCCCATTTATCTTAAAGAAATAGAAGTGTGAATATGTAAGGATATGAATACAAGAATATTTATTATGGCATTGCTGTTCCTGGAAAAAAAGTCAAGAAACAATCCAGATGTCTTCAATAGGAAACCTATTGATCAAATTATGGTGTACACATACTATGTCATATTATGCAACCATTAAAAAGATCTATAACTGTCATCCTTGAGGAATATTTATGATACACTGTGAGTGACAAAAGCAAGTTGCACAAAAATTTGTACATTACGATCCTTTGTTATTATTTAAAATATATACCCTATACAAACCTATATACAAATATGACTGTAGAGGCTCAGAAGAGTATGGAAAGTTACATATCAAAATGTTAACATTTTAACATCCCTGATGGAGGGGATGGGGGTGGCCATAGATGGAAGGTTTGAGGACACATCAATAAATATTTCTTGATAAAATTTCATGTGTTAAAATGAGCACTTTTTAAAAAAATAATTTAAAAGGAAAAGAGAAACCATTTTTTGAAACAACAATCTAAGGGCTAGACTGGGTTCTGGTGACCTCATCAAGGCCATCCC